CCGGGCCCGGGGCCGGGGCCGGGGCCGGGGCCAGCGCGCAGCTAGGCCGGCTTCGGGGTGCTGTTTGGGGCCCTTGGGTTTACGCTGAGTTGGGCGGCGAGATTGAAAAGGAGAGATTTAAAAAGAAAAGTGAGTGTATTGTTTTGGGGGAAGACAGAGGAATACATACGTATATCTCAGTTCACCTAATTAGCCAAACACGGTGCTAGAATAGTAGCACTCCAGAGTTACCATTTGGGATTTATATGCAGTCAAAGCCAGACTTTCTTTGTTGTTTAATGAAAAAACGTTTGATTTTCTCGAACGTTGACCACCTGATTCTGTAGTTCTCACCGCCTTCCCTTTATTTTCTAATACAGTCCTCTTTTATTTTCCTTCGTATTTTCCTTGTATAGTTGAAATGTTCTTGCTAAAGAGTCGATCAATTCATTACAAAAGTGAAAGTGACATTTTTTTAAAGGATGGATAACGATTCACTTTCAGTTTGGAGCAGTAATGTTAATGGATTCCGTCTTTTCTTGGTTATAATGTGGGACATTGTATGCGTGAAACGTTCCTAGTGCTCCAGTTAAAATTTTAAAAAGTGGATTAATCAAACTTTGTTCTTTTTGACCTGATTTAAAAATATATATATATCATCATTTATTCGATTGTCTATAATTAGAGTTTTGTATGTTTGAAGACAGTGATTTAATTTTTTTTTTTTGAGTTGGAGTCTCCCTCTGTCTCCCAGACTGGAGTGCAGTGGCCGCTCCCGGCCACCGCAGCCCCAACCTGCTGGCCTCCTGCGATCCTTCCGCCTCAGCCTTCCAAGTAGCTGGAACTACAGGCGCTACCACACCCCGCTAATTTTTTGATTTATTGTAGAGATGAGGTCTCTGTTTTGTTTTCTTTTGTTTTGTTTTGAGTTGAAGTCTCACTCTGTCGCCCAGACTGGAGTACAGTGGCCACTCCCGGCCACCGCAGCCTCGACCTGCTGGGCTCTGGCGATCCTTTCGTCTCAGCCTTCCAAGTAGCCAGAATTACAGGCATGCACTACCGCACCCGGCTGATTTTTAAATTTTTATTGTAGAGATGAGGTCTCACCAAGTTGCCTAGGCGGGTCTCGAACCTGCGGACTCAGGCAATCTACTCACCTCAGCCTCCCAAGGCGTGGGATTACAGGCGGAACCACCAAGCCTGGCTTAATTTTTTTTTTTTTTTAAACATTAACTCTTTTGCGGTTGATTTGTCCCCAGGAGTGTCTGACACACACTAGGTTTGTGACACCCCTTGGTTCTTTTGTTGAATAGTGGGTTGGATGGGGTCTCTCAGCGCTGTGCAGTCAGCCTTTCAAATTGTTTGGCTCCAGTAAGCAGCCCATGAAATTATTCTCCCTAAGTAGGGTTACTGTGACATTCCATTCCAAATTTCTGAAGGTGTATGAGTAGTATGTAAAGTCTTTAAGTACTAGTATGCTTTGCTGTGATAAGCAGTTCCTTAGTGTTTGAAAATCTAGGATTTTTTTATGGTCACCCAAGATGCATACAACACCCTTTTTGACTCTGCTTATTCCTTCCTCCCCTTTCTCCTCCATAGGCTCATTACCCTATTTCTCGCCCCTGAAACTGACATAAAATAGATGTGAACTTTCTCTTAAATACTGTTTGTTTGGGGGATACATTTAAGCTACCAAATTGGATTTTAAGAAATTTTCTTATTTTAAAGATGTGGGGTACAATTCACGGTTATGTATAAAAATGTTCATTATGCAGGCACCCTTGTTGATGAAGTGTGCCCCTCCCTCCCCTGGCAGTTTTCCACTACTGACAATCCCTTTTTTATAGTAGTATGATAACTGTTCAAGATTTGCTTATGAATGAGAACATATGGCACTCTGTTCTTTGTTTCTGTGATAGATCACTGAGTATGACAGACTCTAAATCTATCCAAGTTGCTGCAAAGTTCATATGTTGGCCAAACTTGATTTAAAAATCAGGTGAGGCCTGGCTCGGTGGCTCAGACTGTAATCCCAGCATTTTGGGAGGCCGAAGCAAGTGGATTGCCTGAGCCCGTGGGTTCGAGACCTGCCCGGGCAACTTGGCGAGACCTGTCTCCACAATAAATCAAAAGCTAGCTGGGCGTGGTAGCGCGCACCTGTAGTTCCGGCTACTTGGAAGGCTGAGGCGAAAGGATCGCTGGAGCCCAGCAGGTTGAGGCTGCGGT